TCAACTTGTATGCCAAAAATAATTCCTTCCAGCCTTTCATTGCCCAATGCTCCCCTCCACCTGAATATTTGTACAGAGTTTCATTCAAGAGAAATTGGAAAAATGGAAAACTCATCCACCCCTCCCTATATTATTCAAATCAATTTAAATTAACCTGCCCCCAAATAATCAAAATTCAAGTACAGTAACTCATCCTAACTAACTTTGTAAAAATTTCTCTTTAAACTCAGCATACAATTTTTGTTTTGCTGTGTCTTAATATGTATACAATGGGAGAGCTCCCAAGAAACAAAGAATGACCTGGCTGGTGGAGAAGGGTGGGCATTGGAACTTTTTTTTTCAACAGGGGCACCCTCCCTCAATAAACCGCCAACCCCATTAAACCGCCAAAATTCTGCTGCACAAACATTGGCGGTTTAACGGGGTTTGACTGTATGAATCTGCAATCAAAATGTTTCTAGCATAAGTTTAGAACTCAGATCTGGAAAAGTATGTCTGAAGGGATACTGCTTTATTCAAGGGAACATATAGTTCTTATCCCTTCTGTGGCAGATGGTTCTTTCCCATCCTGCGGCTAAGTCAGACTTTTACTGTATGCAGACAGGTTTTCATTTTTCTGGAGGTCACAAAACCGCAGCCATGTCAAGTGAGGCAAAGTTGAACAAAATCTGGGGGAATGCAGATTTTTGAATTTTCCAAAGTTGGACTTTTTTCTGGATTGACCTTACAACCAGTAGCAATGCTTTGAGTTCACTACAAAACCCTTTAACCCTTGTGCGGCAAAGTCAGGATATAATCGCAAAATTTCCTGTCACTGAGAACTGGGAATTTAAAAAATGCCACTTTTGTACCAAGGCCTGAGTCGGGAAAAAGTCCAACATTTATTTCTAATCCTGCAGAAAATTTTGGATGAAAAATGAAAAAATCCCTCACTGGGTGGCGTTTTTTCATGCGTTCCTGGTATAGGATCAGCATGGAAGATTCCTGAAAACAAAAGAGAATTTGTCTCCCAGATTTTTTCCAACTTAGGCCTTCTCAACCTGGGAGCATTTCAGCAACCTTGGGTCAAACTGAAATGCTCCACCCCCCAAAAATATCCCAAATTCGCCTCCTGATGGAAATGAACCCTCCGCCATCTGAGGGTTAAAAATGTTGTGTGCTTCAAAATCACTTGGAATTGCTTTGATGAGATCCTCAATGAGCTGCTGGAAGGAAAGATTTAAGAAATTTGCTCCACCTCAGCTTATTTCCTTCAGCTAGCTTTCTTTAAATCTTCTTCAGTGTTGCTTCTCATTGTGGCTTTAATCTCTTGTTTCACAAATTCCATTTCAAGGAACAGTGCAAGTGTCTGAATGAAAGAAGCAAAATTGTCCTACACCAAAGATGGAAGATTAGAAAGGTTATGAAGGACTTGTTTTAAAGGTGCCAAGACACTGTCAGGGCAGAAAAAAGCCTCCGCCCAGAGGATTCCATTTTTTCAGCAAAAATGTTCTGTGCAGAGCAAAAGAAAAATATGCCAGGATTTTCTCCAACGTTGCCGTCCACTCACTTGATGGCATTTTTTCAAAATTTGACTCTCGGTGACACAAAATTTTTCAAAAAAGTTTGACTTTGCTGCTCATGGTTAAGGACTATCCAGCAAATAATTTGGTGATTGCAACCTGTGTTGCAAAGCCATTGGCATGTCATTGGAACACAAATGTTGATGCAATGGCTGTTTGGTCACTGTCCAATGTCTGTGAACAGACATTCCCCCAAGCATTGGCCAATTCGAACCAGAATGAGTTTTCCAATGCATGCCAGCATGCATTTTCCAACTTCTGGGGGAAAGTCCCCAATAGAAGCATCTCCCAATGTCCAACAGCAGTAGAAAAGAGAAAAAGAAATTCATCATTCAATTGCTTCTGTTTACTTCTTTATTTTGCCTGCTTTTTGTTATAATCTTTCCTCTTCCTTCTTCACTTCATCTTTGTGCTTTCTGTTCACAATATTGTTTGCTGCTGCTGCTCCCTTGCTTTGAATCTGCTGTCCTGATGATGCTCCTGGGTTTCAAACTGGGCCCATCTGAGTGTGAGTCAGTCACCTTCACATCTAGCTACGCCCTCACAAGCTAGGTCCAATTCAAATACAGTGAGACCCACACATGCAGACACCTGAACATGGGGACAATTTGACATCAGTCCTGAAAGCATTTGCAACCCATCATAGAGGACCATATACAGTTGCGGCAGTTGAAAAAAAAACCGTAGTTATGACAGCAATAACGTTAGACTAAATAATCCCCCTCTTTTGCATTTTTTAGATTTCTTCCAACTAGAAGGACCATTTTCCTCTTTCGAAAATTCAATCTCCATCAATTTAATCCGGGAATATTCCTCGTCTAATACGGAACTTTTTCCAGGCCATGTCATTCCCGGCTTTGACTGTTCTAATCACAAGATGGTGTCCGCCTCTGGAGCGAAGCAGAGCCAATGCTTTCATCAAATCAGGTACACATAATTTACGAGGCTTAAAATCCACTCGCCGCATTTCAAAAGATGAGTCGGTCCGCGATTCTCCTAAAAAAGGCAGCAGGGAAAGCTTTGGTTCGGAGATTCTGGAAGTCGATTCACGAACCCTGTCTTCTGTGTGTTCATTTCGAAAGTTACCTCCTCCCTCTGCATCACCAGTCCATCGTTTCATCTCGGTAATACTGTATGAGTACGCATACAACAGTATATACACTATACGCGAGTTCCTTCAAAAGTTCAAAGATTTTTTTTAAATCAATTCAACGGAGTCTCAACAATTCCAAAGATGTTCTTTGCTTACAAAATCCAACCATTTTGCATCACTTCAGTGCTTTTCAACAAACTGTCTCCAGATCTGAATGCATGTTTTTCATGGGATAAATCCAACCATCAAACAGTGCCAAAACAGACAGTTCTGTTAGTTGATTGGGCAACCCTGTGACTTCCAACTGTACCCAAAAGTGCAGAACAACTTGAAATGGATTGATTTTGAGCAAAAGGAACAGCCTAATTTTTGCTTTCAAATAGCAACTTAAGCAACTGATGGAACTCTATTTTTGGCACTGTTCTGATTGCTTGATTTTTTACATGAAAAAAAGTGGTGGAGAGTAAGTTGAACAGCAATAAAGTGTAGCCAAAGGATGAGGCTATGCAAGTACAGTGAGACACCAGATGCAGACAGCATTGGTTCATTCAGAGTGTCCCTAAGTGGAAATGTACCCAAGTCAAGTCTTGTTTTCTGGTAAACTTACATTATATAATTTTCAATTGGTGTTTTATGGAAGAAATATCTTCAGAATTCCATGAAAACAAAATTCTTTGCCATTTGAATTTTATTCAGTGAATGTCTTTTCAACTCAATAGAAACATTTGGAGCATTGAATTGTGTACCTCCGTACAGTAAATTTAAATGTTGGCATCTGTAAAAATGTTAAAATAACATTCAAGTCACAAAGAGAGAAGAAGGTATCTCTATGCTATAGGTATTTTTTTTTCGATCAGCTGAATGGATGGAAAAGTGATGGGAAATGTACCAAAGAATTTTTTGCGCATTGATCTTAGGGCTGAAAATATCTGTCTTTTGCATTTAAGCCTATGAAAGGCCAAATTTCCTGAAATTTCTTGACAAATTTGTTAAGCAATGTCGGCATGTCAAGTCATTTTCCATATGTTGGGCCTGTTCATTGAAAGAAAAACCAATGTCCCTATGTCAAATTGTCTGCATATGGGGATCTTGCTGTATCATTATTTTTTTAAATCAAATTATAAAACTCTATTAAATCTGTTTTGAAAAGTTTCAAACCTTTTGAACCAACCCTCGAAAATACAGTACATTATATACAGTATAAATATGTTTTTGCTCTTTCTTCTTTTTGTCCTTTGGTTATTATACGTGATACGGAGGAAAGGCAGCATGTTCGGGGTGTTTTTGGTCATGCCTACGGCGGGGTTCCTGATCACGGCCTTTGGTTGGGAATCCGTGTTCTACGTCACTGGTGCTGTGGCGGTACTTTGGAGCATCTTGTTGGAATTCCTGGTGTATGATGACCCGCAGACTCATCCACGAATCTTGGAAAGAGAGAGATCTTTCCTTTCTGAAAGCATCGGAGCGCACAATTTGGGCGAGAAGAATCGTATGAAGGTACCAAACTTGTTATTA